GGAGCAGAGACGCCATGCTCAGCTCTCCCGATAGCTCTGCTCTCTGAGGCAGACGCAATTCAGCTCCGACCCAGGATGGACATAGGCTAGAATCTTCCTGGTAAGCACACCTCGTGGTGCTACATACATTATAAGAAATGGGCTAGTCCAGGTGCGAGAATTAGCCTAGAAGATGCTAGATAGAAATGGGCCAAGTAGTGTTTAAATGAATACAGTTTGTGTGTTGTTATTTCGGGGCATAAGCTAGCCAGGCGGCCGAGGTGCTGGGGACGCAGCCCCACCGCTCCTCTTACTACATTAGTTTCTCAGTCTATATTGATGAAGAGCTAGTTATTGTTTTCAAATTCACAAGGTAATGCTTTTGTGAAGATGCAGGTGCTTGTGAAAAGACCAGTGTTGTGTCTAAATGCTTGTTCTACAGCTCACAATTTGAAACCATGTCTATAAATATACAATAGCAGTAACACACACAAGAAAAAGAAGGAAAATGACGGTAGATCCAAGAACACTTCTTCCCCATATCAACTAATTTACTAACTTTACTCGGTCTCTCACGTGGTGAACACAATGGCCTTGTACTTACATAGTGCTTTTATAAAAAGAACTTTTTATTATTTTTATGTAGGTGTGTGTATGTGTGTGTGTGTGAGCATTTGTGTATATGAGTATGTGTGTATGTGAGTGTGTAAGTAAGAGTATATGTATGTGAGTACATAAGAATGTGTGTTTGTGTGTATGAGTGTGTGTGCACATCTATGTGAGTGTGAGTGAGCATGTGTATGTAACTAAGTGTGCATGTTTGTGTATATATGTGAGTGAGTGAGTGTGTGTGTATGTGAATGAGCCTGTGTGTATGTAACTAATCATATGTGTTTGTGTGTGTATGAGTGTGTGTGCACATCTATGTGAGTGTGAGTGAGCATGTGTATGTAACTAAGTGTGCATGTTTGTGTATATATGTGAGTGAGTGAGTGTGTGTGTATGTGAATGAGCCTGTGTGTATGTAACTAATCATATGTGTTTGTGTGTGTATGAGTGTGTGTGTATGTCTATGTGAGTGAGTGTGTGTGCATGGTGTGTGTATGTGAGTAACTAAGCGTGTGTGTTTGTGTGTGCATGTGAATGAGTAACTAAGTAAGTGTGTTTGTGTGTGTGTGCGTGCAGAGGCTAGAAGCTTCAGGTGCTTCTGGAGTGCAAGTTATAGGAAACTGCTCTGAGCCGTCTTATTTGGGTCCCCTTAAGGAGCAGTATGGGCTCTAACCACCAAGTCATCTCTCCAGGCATTCATTGAATGCTTTTTAATTTAATCAATTTCTATGGGAAAAAATAGTAGCTGGTCTGAAATCAGACTGATTACATTTTAGTTTGTTAAAGTTGCACCAATTAATCATACATGAAATCCATACTACTAGATATATAGATTGAAATGCAAATCTTGGGATTAGACCGTCCCTTGTGCTCCAAGCAACAGGATTTAAGGTGAGCTTTGCCATGGGTGACTCTATTTGACAGCGATATTTGGCACTATTTTGAGTGCAAATCAAAGGCAAGGGGACACTGTATCTTGACACACACTTATCACATCACCACATGTTCTACACCACCCATGGGTCACAGATTGGCAAGATATTATCCCTAAGTGTGAAAGGAGACCACCTTATGAACTTATCAAGGTAGATTAGGACCATGTGAATTCTTGGTCATTTGAAACCATAACAGAAATATCGGGTCTGAGATATTATTTAATGTGCCAGATGACAACAATATCACCTGGATCTCATAAGAGGACTCCACTTAACACAGCAATGGGGCTCGAGCTATTGATCTATCTGACCCTTTTGTTGTATGTAGTACCTTAAGGGAAAGTCAGATCAAACTTCCAGCAGGCCCTGGGACTTCAGTCCCTACTGTTCCGAATCAGCCTTCTTTAGTTGCCACTGATCCATATATTCAAACATCTCTCCACCTATTGGTCTATCTGGATCTACATCTACTCATGTACCTTGCCTCACTGGTCTCGTGTTCTCACACCTTACTTCTGAAACTCAGCTCAATCCCCGCACTGTGGCTTGGACTAATCCTTGCCTCTTCAGCAACTCTGTCATTTTTATCTAGCCTCTAAGAAGAATGCATATTATCAACTCCCTGCTTCAGGTTCTGCCTCCTGCAAGACCCTTCAGGCTCCTTGTACTCTGCTGCAGCCTTTTTTATCCTACACACACACACACACACACACACACACACACACACACACACACACACGATGTATGATAAGATGAGTGACTGTTACTGAGATTGGAATAAAAGAACTTGTGTTGCCAATCTAGATACCACAGATAATTGAGGTGGCTTGGCAAATCACACCCAACACACTCAACAGACTTGTGACTTGTTATTCAATGTGTCCTGACATTGAAGAGACACACCAAAGTGCTCATCTAAACAACACAGTTGCAACAGCAAGATGAATGATCTTATGTAATTTTGAATCTCAACTTCCTAGAGATTCTGAATTGTCTTCCTTAAGAATATTGTATGTCCTGACGTATGACTTTCTAAAAAGCAAAATGTGACTGATGAAGATTATAAATAAAATAAGCCGCTAATACCACAGAATTTCATAGAGAGCAGCAAAGAATTTGCGGTGCTATATGTTTTTCTTTATATGAGTGGGAGGAGATAAAATGGGTCTGCATGGTTTTCCCAACATGCGAAACTTTTGTAACTCTTATTTGGTATTTTCATGTCCTGTGAAAGAAACTCCTTTTGGTAAAGGTTCCTGAACTGTACACACAGATAAAAATCAAATACAAACCTGGTTAGGGGCTGGGTATATTTATCTGGCAGTCCAATTTTATATATATATTGTACCTCAACCGTGCAAGACAAAAAAGAATTTATATATTGGACCTCACACTGTGCTAGACAAAAAATAATCTATGTGTTAGATACTTTCAAATAATGAAACAGAGGAGGTCTTAAAAGTAAATAATTGCAAAATACAGCCTGCTGTTAAGTTCTTATAATGCTGTGTGTGGAAAGCTTCATTGGGAACAACTAAAGTAGTTATAGTTACTATGTTTTAACATGATATAATGTCAGTCTTTACCTGTTTGAAGAATTTTAAGCTCAAACATAGTACAGAGGATAAATAAGACTATAGTAATATCTTCCATGAGGGAAATTAAAAAAAAATTGAAGCTCAATATTAGTTGTGGACTCTTTAAAGTTGAGTTTCATCAAAACTTTTACTTCACCTCCCTGTTTTATGAAGAGATGTCAACCAAAAATTTATTTGAGTTCTTTAACTTTTTATTAAAGGGAAACTTTTAGCAATACAAAGCTCATGACAGGCTTATCACTGAAGTTTTATAGACAGCCTCTCTAGAAAAGGTTATCCGCCCACACTCAATATACTACCAGGTGGATAATAAAATGAGTTTATGGTGTGCTTTGGTGGACGTAGGATTGCTATATTTTGCTTTTATCTCTGTTTGTTTTAACATCTGTCCTTTGTTCCTTGACCCATATACTTTATTGGGGGGAAGCAAAAACTGAATTTGCTGGGCTTATTTGAATTCTGTTGACCTTGTTCTTGCTGAAGAATATTTCAAGGGGGGAGTTCAAACTGGAAAAAGAAAAATGTGCTCATTTGACTCAAGCTTATCTTATAGCTGAAAGCTGGTTCTTCTAGTGCCGGGTGCATGGCTAGTTAAATCCTGTGCATAAGACTTCACTTTCTCATATTAAACCCTTCTCATTTTTAGCTGAACTCTACCAGATAGGGTTAAATTGATCACTAGGGATACTCTCCAGAGTGTTTACTTCATGTTTGGGTACCTGGCTGAGGACAGGACAATGGTCCATTGGATGTGGGATCTGTGAAGGTGATGCACATGGGGTTTTGGTCTAGTCTGCTCTCAAACCGAGATGGGAGGAAAGTGGCATGGCCTGCCATTGTCTTCTGTCTCTGTCTGCGAGAATTTTTTGTGAGTCAAGAAAATTCCTCACCGCATTTTGTTTTCCTAATGCTTCTTGGCTCCTCACCAGCAGGTTTTTACAGTCTGTTGCTTGCCTCTCAGATTAGAAGAATGCTGGCATATTTTAACAGTTTCCTAGGATTCAAACAGCCTTTAATTAACGGGAAATTGATGTTTTGGAATGTTATCAAAATATGGGAGACAGAACACTGGAGCTATGCTTCCATCCTTGCAGTTTCTAAATGCAGTTAGTCTGAAAACAGGGGCAGAACTCTGTGCTCCATGTAACCAGCCGCCTGCCCACCGGTGTGCAGAGGAAGATCTGTGTTGGTGTAATACTCTCATTGCCTGCTCATTGGTGCCGGTCTAAATTCCTCCCACTCATGACTGGGGTGGAGACAGGCAGTTGTTGAATTGTCAAAGCTCCAGGGTGCTGAATAGCTCAGGGCTGTGGGGCTTGTAGTGCTGGCTTTTCTAATCCTCTTGCTGCCAGGGCAGCGCGGTGCGGCTGCCTGTGCTTGTGGTTCGGTTTCTTTTCTGTTCCAGATTCATGTCATTAGTCTGTCAGAGTTTGGGTGAAAAGAGCAGTTCTGCAAAATAGCCACTCAGACTCGAAGCATATTCTGAACAGGCTAGTTTTCAAGGAGAGATGGGGGAGCAGTGTTGGATTGTAGGGGGGTTTCCCTCGGACTCTGGAGAGCTTGGTGACAGGTGCATGGCTGACTGATGCCGAGCACCTGAGTTCCAGGCAATACAACAGAAAGCAAATTGGGCAGTGTGAAATACTGACTGATCCTCACCTAATCATACAGCTGCTATCCCAGGGAAAGGCGCTGCTCACTTACCTTTGGCTGTCCAATGACAAAGCTATTCACTGGCCAAATCTTGACTGGTATGAGTAGACTCTGTCTTGTTTATCTAGTGACCCAGAAAGCTGGTCTCTTCCCCCCCCCCAAGGTCATTTTGTTTCCTTTTCTGTGCCTGGTGACCCTGATCATCCCTTTGCTCTTGTCTCTATAGGTGGTACATGCCAGAGTCCTGCTCTCCCAGCCCTGGTCCGGCCGCCAGCCCCTCCTTTGCAGCCATCATTGGATATTAAGCCCTTCCTTCCCTTTCCTCTTGACACTGCAGCGGCGGTCAACCTGTTTCCCAATTTTAATGCGGTGAGTATCAGATCCAAATTTGCACCTGTCCGGGATGAGAAGGCTTATTAAAGGTCTGGGGTATTTCTCTTACTATTTCTGTCTGGACATGTTGTTTATTCCACAGTGTTTTTGTGTGCCATGGTGAAATTGGATGTCAAGCTAGAGAGATAATGTTCAAGGAGTCAGGCTCCTGGGCAGGGGATGGAAAGATAATTCAGTGGTTGATATGAGTTGATGTCATCAATGAGAATCCCTTTTGTAAAACAGACAATGCTGCTATTGTTTGGAACTTGCCAAACTGAAATTGAACAAATTTATTATACAGTGTAAAAGTTGAAGTTTGATGTAGCTTTTTTTTTTTTTTTTTTTTTTGACATGGGAGTCTTCTAAGCTGCTTCAAATCTGTTTTTTTTTTTTTTTCCTACTGCAATACATAGGGCTGTGAAAGAAGCCAGAACTAAAGCTGGTCCTCCAAAAGTGCTTGTTTTCCTCTTCCCTCTGCTCAATGAAGTGGTTCAGTGTGTGTGTGTGTGTGTGTGTGTGTGTGTGTGTGTGTGGTGTTTATGTATTTGTGTTTCTGTGTTTGTGTGTGAACAAAAAACTGGACATTAGAATGCAGAGGTCACTTTTGTAGAGAGGTCAGCTTGTCACTGTCTGACCTATTAGCTTCCACCATACGAAAAGCTCCTGGCACGTAGAAGCGCCAAGGTTGTGTGGAACGGCAAGCTGATGTTCTAAATTACAGCATTCTACCCTTTCTTCTACCTTCACTCAACTGCTAGACTCTGGGACCCTCTTTTCTCTAAAAGGAGAGACCTCTCTCACTTTCAACCTAAGGAACCCCATCTCTAAAGTTTATGAAATCAAGGGATTTCCTTGGTTCTGGGTGTTGCTGTTAGATTTCCTGTCCCAGCTGAGATGAGTGGCTAAATGTTACCAATAATTATTTCATCTGAAAGACCAAAGTAATGAATATAGTCTGATAAAACCAAAACTGTAATACGCTTAATGTATGTAGCTGCATTCCTCCTTACCTTAAGTACACATAGGACTCTGGCACCCCCTTCCACTCTACCACGTCCATCATCCCCAGTTACAGATGAGTCCAGACAAATGTTTCCTAAATTATTTTGGTTCCGTGGGTTTTGTTAGAAGCCTTCTCAGCACAAATTCTATTATTTTCTCTTCTATTTTCACTTTTTACTGTAAGTTGGCATTCATTATATGTATCATAATTCTTGTGTGTGTGTGTTTGCATACAATGAGACTATTCTTAAGATAGACATTGAAGTGAACGCATAATGGTTAGAAACAAGTAAGTCGCTTATTTTTTGAGGATCACCTGCTTCAGCTTTCATCAGTTGCTGCAATGCAGGGCCTGGCTTTTCAGTGACAGGATGTGTCAACACAGCCAAAGAAAAGAGGATTAATACGAGAGGTCACCCAGTGCCCAGTGAGCTCAATAATACTGTTTTCTGATTGCAGCACCTTACCGAGAGGTGAACTTAAGAAAAAGCATAGTAATCTGCCCACAATGAAGCCATTCAAGAGAATGGAGGTCCAGGAGAACGTATTTCCTTAATAGCATTTTATCACAGGGACTTGAAAGATGTTGGATAGTATTTGAATGACAATAATATGCTAGTCAATGTTAGTAGACCAAGGCATATCCATTGATCACTTTATATTTAGTGGTGAAGAGGAATTTTTCCATAAGAACCTTATTTTCAGATGGATAGGGTAAGAAAGATATGGTAGTGTATGCTTCTCATTCCTGCCCTCTGGAGGCTGAGACAGGAGTATGTGGAGTTCAAGGTCAGCGTGATCTCATATTGAGAGAGACTTTGTTTCAAAGAGATAGAGAGAGAGGGAAAGAGAGAGAGAGAGAAGATGAAGAAGGAGGAGGAGAGAAAAAACAAAAAAAGATTGCACTAGAAGGCAGGTGATATACAGATGAGATAAAAGATTAAAGACAGGGTTTAGGGGCGTGATTGGCCCTAACTGTATTGACTTTATCACTCTCTCCAAGACTGAGAGAACATTATGAAAGAGAGGACATAAAGAATTAAAGAGCTGGAAGACGCCTAGGTGTCTTACAAAAAGTTATCTTCTGGATATAACAAGGCTGCTCCATTCATGAACTGACTGCAGTGATGCATTCAAGAACTCTCTGTACTTATGGATAGCTACATAAGACCTGCACATAACAGGGGCCATCGATATTTCATCATGGCCAAGGTCTCATCTCCCCCTGAGGGGCTATTGGCAGTGAATGGTTGCTGGGGAAGGAGTGTCATGTCATGCTCCTCTGTTGCAGGGTGGAAAACCAAATATTACTCAATATGACCACAGTAGGAACTGAGAGCCTTGTTTAAATTGCCTGAAGAGAAATCCTCCTCATAGAGCAGCCTTGCCTGGAATGCAACAGGTAACTTTTAAAGGCAAAGAACAGAGAAAAACTATATCCCTGTTGGCTGTTGCAAGGGGAAGTAAAGCAAACAAGCAAGAAGACAGTTTAACAGAAGCCAAAAGATGCAGTTAGCTAAGGCCTTGGGAATCCGAGTTTCTAGAACAAAGTTGGGTGCTTTCCCATGGGACTTCATGGCATAGAAATGAAGGGTCAGTTTCAGGTTGAACTAATGATTGCTCCAGGTGAGACAAAATGGAGAAATCTTTGCCCTACCTAACACACTTCAGTGGTGTAGCAACTGAAAAGTGCTTAAACAAGTAATTAAAGTCACACACTGAAAAGACATTGAAGTAGAGGGGTGGTATGGTTGGAAAGAAGTTAAGCAGGAGAAGGAAGTCGGTAAGAGAAGGAATAGGAGAGGCAGAAGAATAAAAAATATACACGTATGAAAGTCTCTGAAATAAAAAGGGGAAGGAAGCAAAGGAATGAGGAAATAAGAAAGGGGGCAGAAGTGTGGGAGGAAAGAGCAGATTCAGGCAGAAATAGAGCAGCATAAAAATCACATTTCTAAGACTCTTGCTAACCTTGACTTTTAAGAAGACCAGAGGAAAACTGGCCAGTCACTGGCATTCTTTCCCCTTAAATGACATCGCTGCAAATCCCCTGGTATGCCAGTCCCAAGTCAGCTTTATAGTTGTTTAGGCAATATTTTTGGAAGATTATTCAAACCTAATTTAAAATTTTCAATATGCCTTTTGGGAAACATTAAAAACAAAGTGGTTATCTTAAGTGACAGGGAGCATTGTTTGCCATGAGAAAAAAAAAAAATGACCTGACCTGCGATGCTCTGCAACTGAGCAGATCTCTTTATCTTCTTTGCTGCTATTTCCTCCTCTTAAGGATAAATTGGACAACCAGGTAATGGTGGCAGACACCCTTAATCCCAGGACTTGAAAGACAGAGACAGGTAGATCTCAATGAGTTTGAAGCTAGCCTGGTCTACAGAGTTCTGGGCAGTCAAGGCTGTATAAAGAAACTCTGTCTTGAACCCCCCTCTAAAAAAAATTAAAAAAAAATAGAATAAAGTAGACACAGGAACTTCCTTTGTTAGTGAAGCCATTCAAAGTTGGATGGGCTCCTCCTTGTGAGTGAAGATAGGCTTTGTGATTCAAGCTGGATTCTGCAGCTAGACCAAGTTCAAATACTAGGAATGTTTCATGTCACACATATGGCCTTAGGTAAATCACACATTTCCTGTGTACATCAATATCTTCATCCACAAAATAAGACTAATAATAGAACATATTTATGTGTGTACTGAGTATGTGGGTCAAAGTGTTTCAAACAGGACTTCAGCATGCAGGCAGGCTATTGAATGATGCAGTCATGTCCTCCTAAGGGGCTTCAAAACTCTTATGAGTTTGAACATGGTAGTCCATTGGTTAACTTGTTGGTAGAGTTTGGCATGAACATGTTCCTGTTTTCTGGAGTTTGACTTATATTGTTCACTAGGACCTCAAGGCCCTCTGTTCCTATGCTTGTTATTTATTCCTTGGTGGTTCTAGCATTGGTCAAGCTGCAGCTAGTTAAGGATTAAGCCTTTCTTGCTTTCAAACAAGGATAATGTTTGGAAAGTTCACGGTCATGGGCATTAGACTCAGAATCAGGACATAGACTTTCTGTATTATTGTAGGTTCTTGGTTTTATAGCAGTTGGAAACTCTATCCAGGGTATTTTAAATTTCCTTTTATTGTTGTTTCCAATTTTGGATTGCGAAGCTCTCACTCCATCAGGCTGAAGATAAATCCAATTGAGTTTCTTCTTCTAGATTCACTTATTGAATTCTATGTATATGAGTGTTTGCCTGCATATAACTGTGTGTGCCTGGTACCCAAGAAAATCAATAGGAAGTCTTATATCCCCTTGAAATGGAGTTGAAGATGGTTATGAGGCACCTTGTGGGTTCTGTGCATCAAATCCAAGCACCCTGAAAAAAATAACAATTACTCTTACACACTGAACATCTCTCCACTCCCTTCAATCTAATTTCATTATAGAGTGTGCTAAAGTTTTAGAACCTAGCAGTCCTATTCATACTGTGGTGGTGGGACATTGCTGGGTTAAGTTATTTGTATGCAAAGGCATTTGTTAGTTATTTGTGATTGGATTAGCCATTGAAGCATCAAGCTTTTTTGTATTGTGCTTAGGACCCACAAACCTCACAAGACTGCCAGTGTTCCAGCATTGCAGACTCTTCATGTAGCTATTATTTTTGAAAGAAAAATACTCCTTATCCATCCTGTCTCCAACTTCCACTCACCTATGATTTTAAACAATTTCCATGATGATCATTAATTATCAACTTTATTTTTTCCATGACAGTAAAAAAAATGACATCCTTTGCTCATTTGGAGTATGGTCTGCCATAAAGATGAAGGAAATCTTAAAAATCATTCTTCCAAAACAAAATAGATAAATATGTAACTAGCCTTTTCTGATTACTGTCCTTCTATGAGAACATAAACCATTGGATTCATACATGAGTCAAAACAAATATCAAAAATAAGCCCATGAAAAGAGGCACAATGAAATCAAAATGACTCTGAGA